CTGAAGCAGCTGCTCAGCTTTGCCCTGGGGGCCTCTTGGGCAATGTGTTTCTCCACCTGTTGCCCGAGGCCTGGGCCTACACATGCAGCTCCAGCCTTGGTGAGTGAGGTCACAGCCTGGGGGCAGGCAGGTGGGGGTTGGAGGGGAGCTGGTACCCATGCCCAGAGATGGCCTAGGCCCTGCCTGCTCTGCCAGAATGGCTGGCAGAGGGATTCTGGGTATCAGGCCGGGAACTTGCCCTGGCCTCTGTGGGAGTCCCTGGGGCCCCGCTGCCCCACCAGCCAATCCTGGCCCCCTGCCTCTGTCCCTACCCTGGACTAGGTCCCATTCCAAATGGCCCTCCTTCTCTGGCCTTGGCTTGGCCTGGCATGTCAGTGCTGCCCCCTGCAGGTGGTGAGCGGCAGAGTCTGCAGCAGCAGCAACAACTGGGGCTGTGGGTCATTGCTGGCTTCCTGACCTTCCTGGCTTTGGAAAAGATGTTCCTGGACAGAAAGGAGCAGGAGGAGACCAACCAGGTGAGCCCCAAACCCTAGGACCTGGGTACCTCAGTCTGTTCTGTGGTGGTTCCAGGGCCTGGAGGCCCAGGTTCTGAGTTGAACCCTGAAAAGAGGGTCTCTTGGCCTTTTCTTGGGACCTCTGGGGGGCTGGGCAGCTTGTTTGGGGGTCTGGGGAGTGACAGCATCAGCCCCTGCCATGGCTTGTTCTCCGACTGATAACGACGGCAGTGCGGGAGGCCGACAGTCTATTGAGTTTGAGGGCACCTGGCGGATCAAGCAGCAGAGAAGTCTAGACAGAGAAAAGGGGTGCTCCCTGTCTCTGTTTCTCCATCTCTCACTCCCCTTCTGTGTCCAGCCTGGTCAAGCGGGGGGCGGGGGGAGGGCATCTAATGTCACCTTCTCCCTCCTTCTCCTGGACCTAGGCCCCCCGCAAAGACCCCGCTGCTGCTGCCGCCGTGCTCAGTGGAGGCCGCTATGTGGCCCAGCCGGCTGCAGAGCCCGGCCTGAGCGCCGTGGTCCAGAGCATCAAAGTGAGTGGCCCACTTAGGGCCCCCTCCTCCTGCAGCCGCCCCACCCGAGTGGCCAGCCCAGCTCAGCCCTGCCTGCCCTGTTCAGCTGGCTTTCTCTCCCCTCACCCAGGTCAGTGGCTATCTCAACCTGCTGGCCAACACCATCGACAACTTCACTCATGGGCTGGCTGTGGCTGCCAGCTTCCTGGTGAGCAAGAAGGTGAGTGGGGATTGGGGCAGGTGGTGCCCAGGCAATTCCAGTGGGAATGATGGTGCTTGTGTTGACCAGTTGGCTCTGCCTCTAAAATAGGTCTCCAGTCCATCACTTCTTGCTCCCTGCATCAGCAACACCCTCATCTGAGCCCCAGTCCTCCCTGTCGCTCTCCTGGACGCGGCCTTCTATGGTCCCGAGACACTGGTCTGTTCTCCTGGCTGCAGACACTCCTTTTGGGGATCCATGCCTCTGCCTGCTTCCAGATGCTTCCCCACTTTCCCCTGCCCTCTGTCTGCGACTTGTGAACACCACGCTTTCCCCTCCTTCATGGCCTCCACCTCACACTGTTCCATCTGCCTGAATGCTCTTCCCCCCACCCTCAATGTTGGCTCCTCAGCCGTTAGGCCTTGGCTAAATGTACTTCCTCAGACAGGCCTTTGCTGACCCCTCGTCTGATTAGGCCCCATTACTCCTGCCCCATGGCACCCAGACCTCCCCCCCCCCCCCCCCCCAGCAGCTGTCAGTGAGTGACACACGGCTCATGTGTTTACTCAGTCCTGGCCTCCCTCCTCCAGACTGTGAGCTTCATGAGGGCATCTTCCTTGTGTGTTTGATTGGCTGCTGTGTTTCTGGTCCCCGAACGGTGGCCAGCCAGAGTGCTCAGAGCAGAGTAGACACTGGTAGACTGAGTGGACAGGGGGTGCCCTGGCCCTCGGCACAGACCCCACAGACTCCCCTTCCTGCAGATCGGGCTCCTGACCACCATGGCCATCCTCCTGCATGAGATCCCCCATGAGGTGAGTTCCAGAGGGCCTGGGGGCCCAGCGAGGGGGTGCGGGCTGGGGCCCAGCAGCAGGGCGGGTGCAGGGGCTCGTGTGCGTGTCCGTCCCTGAGGTGCTCGGGGTCTGGTCCTACTGGGGCCCAGAGTGATCCTCTGGACCTTCCCTCAGGTGGGCGACTTTGCCATCCTGCTCCGGGCTGGCTTTGACCGATGGAGCGCAGCCAAGCTACAGCTCTCCACAGCACTGGGGGGCCTGCTGGGCGCCTGCTTCGCCATCTGTACACAGTCCCCCAAGGGAGTAGGTACGGGCGGGGTGTGTGGTGGTGGCAGGTGGCCATCAGCAGAGGGGTCCCAGCCAAGGGCACACCGGCCCCACCCCGATATTGAGCCCGGGTCCTGCCCTCGGTCCCCACTGCGGGAGGGGTGAGGGACCCGTGGGCTCCCAGCCAGTCGGGCCTTCTCCCACTGCAGAGGAGACTGTGGCCTGGATCCTGCCTTTCACCTCTGGCGGCTTTCTCTACATCGCCCTGGTGAACGTGCTGCCCGACATCTTGGAGGAAGACGACCCGTGGTGAGTGACTCACTGGGACTGCCACTCACCGGCCCTTAGAGGCTGGCGGAGGAGGGGCTTTTCTGGCCCCTTCCCGGCCCCTCACCCCGTGCCAACCCCTGAGCCCCAGCCTCTCTCCCCACAGGCACTCCCTGCAGCAAGTGCTTCTGCTCTGCACGGGGATCGTGGTGATGGTGCTGTTCTCGCTCTTGGTGGAGTAACCATCCCTGACGCCCACTCCCCCCACAGCAATAAGAGACTCGGATTTACTCTGTGATCGTGTGTGAAGGCAGAGAGGGCGAGTGTCTGAGAGCCAGCGAGCCTCCTACCAGACAAGAGGATGGCACGCACGCGTGTGTGTGTGTGTGTGTGTGTGTGTGGTGTGCACGTGTGGACAGAGGTGTGTGAGACCGACACTGTGATCCCTCATGCCCAGGGCCCAATGCCTGCACCTGCCCCAGCCACACTGTGGTGGTCCTCTCTCCTTGCCACCCTGTCATCTTGCACCTCCCAGAGAGAGCAGCGAGGAAGCCAGCGTTGGTCCCAAGCAGAGGCCTCTCCCCACCACGACCCCCAGGGGAGTGAAGGGCAGCCCCAGCAGCCCCTGCCTGCAAGGAACCCCAAAGCTGTCTCCCACTAGGTCCCTGGCTGAGGGAGTAAACCCCTCTGCTCATGCACCCAGCCCTGGGCAGCCTAGGGGCCGAGGCTGGGGTGAACCCCGCTGCATCCATGGTCGTGGCGCTTCCTTCGCCATCTCTAAAGCCAAAGAAAGGAGAGGCAGGTGCTCTCGCAGCCCCCAGCCCCACTCAGCACTGACAGTCCTACCCTCCCAGCATGAAGCCGAGAGATGCTTTCTCAGACCGGGGCCAGCTCCCGTCCCCCAGTGAATGCTCCGTGGCAGCACCAGCAGCTCTTGCCACCTCCAGCTGCCAAACAGCAGCCTGCAGGGCAGCCAGCAGCCCTGGGCCAGGGAGACCTCCCGTCCAGCTCAGGGTTGCTTGCGCCAGCACAGGGGCCAGGCAGATATCCTAGAGGCAGGAAGTGAGTGTTTGTGGCTGCCCCTCCCTGCTCGGGCCCCTTTT